TGCTGGGTATAATATTTATCGTAAAATTAATGACAGGCTTGATTAATAGCCCGGCCCTCCTGGCTGAGGTAAATTTTAATGTTCCTTCTCGAGTGTCAAGACACTTTCGACCTCTATTTTTAAAGCCATGCAAAACTAATTTTGAACTAAACGAATCATTCCGTGGTTTATGTCAAGATTTTAACTGTCATTCCAGCACGTTTGACGTATCGGACTCGATTTTTACTATAAAGAAAACTATTATTTCCACTCTCAATAATTGAAATATTATATTTAGCATATCCAATCAGCTGGTGAATTTGATTCTGTAGCTGAATAGTTTTAGATCTCGACACTTAACAAACTCCTGTTTCCACTACTCGGCACCAAAAAACTAAAAAAAAAAAAAAAAGGGTTCCGTACGTCATGCGGACTGCGCCCCTCGTGTCGGTTGGGCGGGAATGGAGGTTAAAAACCGTTGGGATTAATTAATTAATTAATTAAAAAAACTCAGTAAGTTTCTCTCTTTGGGAGAGTAAGATACCTTATTCTCTGAATTTTGTTACTGGCTAATTCTTACTGGCAGTTGCATAGCGAACACTCCAAATGTTCAATATTAATGTCAAAACCCAAATCTCATCCAGAACGGTGACAAAGGTAGTTTCATGAGAACAATATAGCTGTGATAATCTAATAGATATGATGATATATATAGATAACTTTTCAATAATTAACCAACTGAACTTAGATGATATGATAGCATACATAAACTCATGTTTGCTAAATTGTATACAACACTTAACGTGTGTGAAACAAATAAATGTAAAAACAAAAAATAAATGGTATGATCACGAACTGACACAATTAAGCAAAAGTAAAGTGGCGGCTTATAATTTAGCTAAAGCAAGTAGTGAATGGTCTGAATACTATAGTATTAAAAAGGCATACAAAAGAAAACAAAATATTTGTAAAAAGTCATAGCTAATAATTCTAACAGTAAATTAATGTGGAGATACTTAAAGCAGATCGTGTGTTATCTAGATAAAATAGAATATAGCGTTGATAAGTCATGAAGGTCAATGCATCGACGATAAAAAGCAGATAGCAGAGGTGTTAAATACATTCTTTGTTGAAAGTATTGTGCAAATAAACGAGAGTATTGAATATATTGAAAACAACGAAAATGGCTATTACGATATTGATACAACATTTAACATGCTGAAATAACAACAGAAGACATACTACGAATTGTGAAAAAGTTTAAAACCAAAATTGGTGGTAAAAAGCTGCTGACGGAAGGCGTAATTAGAGATTCTCTGCCATACTTGGGTTATTATTACTCAGTAGTTATCAATAAAAGTTTAACGAACGGCGTAGTACCAGATGAATGCAAAAATTCTACAGTAGTTCCAGTGAAGAAGGTTAGGAATACAACCAAACCTGAAGAATGTCGACCAACTAATACTTTACCAAACATTGAGAAATTACTGGAAACAGTGGTGAAAAATCAGCTGGTCGAGTATATTGAAACTAATAACCAGGCAACGGATTTTATGGAAATTGCCTTTTTTTCTGCTAAAGATATAGAGTATATTCGATTAAGAATGTCCACGATTTAGCTTTCCCTGATTCCATATATACACATTTGATGTTGCCTTTTTTGCCTTTTTTAAGATATTTGCCTTTTTTTTGCCTTTTTTAAGATATTTGCCTTTTTTGCCTTTTCTACCTTTAAAAAAGTGATTATAGCATTTACAATTTTTTTTTTAAGATTAAAAAATATACGCATTGCCCATGCGGCTTAT